TCCTCAGCACCACATAAGCAAAAAGAAAAAAGTTGGAAGTGGCACTGTGGCTCAAGTGGTAGAGCGCTAGCCTTGAGCTGAAGAGCTGAGGGACAGCGCCCAGACCCTGAGTTAAGGCCCCACGACCAGACCCCCCCCCCCCCCCCCCCACACACACACACACACAAAGACTATGATAAAAGCATAGGGAAGCAGTTAGCTTTGAATGTAGATGAAGGGGCCATGAGAATGGGAATAAGACTGTAGCTACAAATGCTGGAGTAGTCAAAGAGATAGTCTTCCTGAAGCATTGGGAGGGAGTGGCGCCCTGCTAAGGCATTGACATTGGCTCAGTGATACATATTTTGGGCTTCTTCCCTCCAGAATTGGAAGAGAATAAATACTTGTGTTGCAAATTTGTTACAGCAGCCATAGGAAGCGGTATACCATCTTACACACCATCTAAATTCAATCCACATATCTGGTGTGTGACTGGGAAACAGGGGGAAAGATTGTTTATAGACTCAAGTTAAGATTCCCTGCTTCAAAGCTAACCATTATTAACAGTTCTCTTGTGTTCTTTTGCTGGGAAATGTTATGCTTTCCTAGAGTGACTGTTTGTCTTTATGTATCTAGTGTGCTATTTACTATCTTACTTATTTGAATTATAAATATATACACATAGCACAATGAGATGCAGTAAGAATAAGTTTACTGCCATTTACCATTCTGCCTTTCTGTAGAATAATCAGAGCAAACCATCCTTTTGTATCCTCCTAGAGGTATTCCATACACTTAACAGATTATTGTATGTATGTTTACATGTATATATGTGTATGTATGTATATGTATAACATGTACATATATGTATATACACATATACATAACATATATATGTATATATAAATATATGTTACATATTACTTATATGTGCACATATAATCTACTTAAACATATATGCATATATATACACTGTAGACACAAATGGTAGCACATTGTGAGGACTATTCTTTTCCTATTTATTTTTTTTCTATATAACAATATACCTTATTTTCTTTTTTCTTTTTTTTTTTTTGGGGTCCATCGTGGGGCCTGAACTCTGGGCCAGGGCGCTGTCCCTCAGCTCTTCAGCTCAAGGTTAGGGCTCTACCACTTGAACTATAGCGCTACTTCCGGCTTTTTTTTTTTCTGCTTATGTGGTGTTGAGGAATCAACCCAGGGCCTCATGCATGCAAGGCAAGTGCTCTACCACTGGGCCACCTTCCCAGCCCATATGCCTTATTGTCTTAGATTTTTGAAGGCGAATCAGAAAGACGTAACTTGAAGCTGGGAATGATCCTCAGTTTAGAGCCAACATATAATCAAACCTTTATATTAAAATTTCCTAATATTTTTCATTTGGACAAGAAATTGGTCCTCAGATCTTCTTTAGAAATGTTTTTTAAGCCTTTATTAATTTACATGTATGGTTGTTCTTAATTAAGTTCCAAAGATCTCCCCAGTGTATTACTCTGATAAAAAAAAAATATCTTGGGGTTGTAAAAATGGATAGAGTGGATAATTAACTGTATTTGGGTAAAAGAAAATAAATTTAATCAGTGTTAATTTGATAAATTTAGGCATACAGATATTGCTCTATAATTCAAAACTAGCTTTTAAGTTAATTTGCTTAAAATAAAGAATTGCAGATGGGAAAGGGAGTTGGAAAAATAAAATAGGATTCTTTTGTTTTAAATGGAGGGAAATACAGAGATCATGATGGAACTCTCAACCCAAATTTTCTTTGAGTTCTTTCCTTTGTCCTCTCTTTTCTCTCCTTTTTTTTTTAATAAAATTTTTATTTAGTTTCAGAGTGTTTGATAGAAGTATTTAAATATAAATTAAACTATTCCTAGTACTTGTACCTAATTTTACATGAGAGTAAACTTTAATTTTCATAACTAGAAACAAAAAGACAAAGGTATATTGAAGATTTATTAGACATTAAGTCATTTTTTGTAACACTTTTTCATGCTATTTAATGCTTTAAAAATCAAGTAGATAACTCTCATTTGTAAAGTAATTTGAGTTGTAATGTCTACATCTTAGAAAAATTAGCTCGCATAGATTTTAAAAAATTTAAATTTTAAATTAAAAAAATTTAAATCTGTTGGAAACTGTTTCTGGGTTTTGCTTTGCTATGTTTTGCCTTTCGGTGATACTGATGTAAAAAGTGTTCATCATTTCACTTTTCTGCCACAGGGTGGTACACTGTACCTACTGTCTGAAATTCAATAGCTTGATCAAACCTAACTTTACATAAAACAGAATTTTATAGACATTTATAGAGTAGATAGAAGTTTTATAGAGTATAAACAGATGATTACAGATAACAGATAGTCTTTATACAAGAGTCTTAATTTTATTTAAAGGATAGTTAATGATATTTGACTAGTTTTTATTATATTTTAGTCCTTAAATGTTTTATTTGGAAATAATCTCAGACAATGATATGTTGCAAGAATAAGAGTTCTATAAGAAATATCCACATAGCCCTTATATTGATTTATCTATTAACATTGTATTCCATTTGTCTTTCAGTATTCCTGAGTATTTTTTATGAAACATTTGAGGTATAAGTTACATATATTATGATACTTTGCCCTTAAATATTTCTCCAAAGGACGTTGATATTCCATTATATAACCACAAGTATCAACTTCAGGAAATTCAGTATTACTATTTCAACTTGTTCAGCTTAGTTAAGTATATCTTTTATAACATTTTCCCCTTCTGTTCAGCAGTGTCAGGTCAGTTATAACATGTCATTGTCATGGTTGTTTAGCACCCCCCCCCCCCTTTTTTTTTTTTTTTTGGGTCCGGTTGTGGGGCCTGAACTCTGGGCCTGGGTGCTGTCTCTCAGCTCTTCAGCTCAAGGCTAGCGCTCTACCACAGCGCCACTTCCGGCTTTTTTCTTTTTTTTTTTTTTTTGCTTATGTGGTGCTGAGGAATCGAACCCAGGGCCTCAGGCATGCAAGGCAAGCGCTCTACCACTGAGCCACCTTCCCAGCCCCATCCCCCCCCTTTTTTTTTAATGTTGGTGTGGGGCCTGAACTTTGGGCCTGAGCACTGTCCCTCAGCTCTTAAGCTCAAGGCTACAACTTGAGCCACATTGCCACTTCCAACCTTTTCTGCTTATGTGGTACTGAGGGATCAAACCCAGGGCCTCATGCATGCGAGGCAAGCACTCTACCACTGAGCCACCTTCCCAGCCTTGTTTAGCTTCCTTTAATGGCAATATTTCCATAGCCCTTTTTATTTTATACTACATTAACATTGAACTCCTCTTACTAGAATATTGATCATTTCAATTAGGGTTTGTGTGGTATTCATAATACATATTATACATTCTGGGCCACAATGCACAGATGATATTTCATTTTCATTACAGTATTACATGTGCTCACTTATTTATGTTCATTTATTTATGGTGGTACTGGAATTTGGACTCAGGATGTAGCACTTGTTGAAGTTTGGTGTTTCATAAATTGGTTTCAGTTAAATTTGTTAACTACTGAATAAAAGCAAACATTTTAATATATTTTATGGGGCACCATATCATGTTTAGATTTTTTGTAAATGTAGCTAAATATATGTAGATGAAGAATGAATTGCCATTCGGGGAGGTATAAAAGCAAACCAAACATTTCCTGTAAAGGTTGATATTTAGATTAACGCTCTCAATAGGTAAAAAGTCTCATTTGTCTGGAATACTAGAAGTGGCACACTTTAATATGATTCCTTGCATTACTTGTTATTTTGCTCCTGGGTTGCCAAGGAAAATTGTTGTTGATATACCCTTGGGATCTACCAGTTGTTTGGGTGAAAAAATAAAATCTGAAATAGGTGACTTTAGACAATAAAGAAGTGTGAAGAATTGAGCCAGGGCAGTTATAAATCTCTCAAGTGTTAAAATTAATTAATATCAAAGCTATATAATTCTTTTTTGAGAAAGATTTTTACCACATAACCTAGGCTGGCCTGGAACTTGAAATTCTTCTGCCTCAGCCACCAAAGTGCTAGGATTGCTGACATACATCACCATGTCTGGCTCCAACATCAGATGGCTTTGAGTCTCTGTTTGAATTTGTGCAGTATTAATACAAGCTTTTTAAAGTACAAAATAAACACACAGAACCAATATATTGACTGGAAAGAATATTATAAACTTTTGAAACAAATGATCATAGTCACTCCCCACCCCCTTAGGCTATTTGAAAGATTTATTAATGTTAACTAGATAGAAATTGTTTACTGAGCAGGAAAACTTCCTATATATTTTTAATGTGTTAATCTTAGAGTGTGTATAAAAGTTTTGAGGTTATGAGTTTTGGAGAAAGTAGTCATTTCATCTGAATATTTGCACTTAGTTTATTGACTTTTTTTTTTGCTGAAAAGCTATTTGTAGAATCAATATTAAGGTGTGCAATGCTGTCTTAAGTGGTATGATGCTGTCTTAAGAAGTCATCAGTTTAGTTTTCTGTTTCTGAACTTGGTGAATTGAAACTTTTTTATAATACATTTAACACATGTACTTTGATTATATAGTATATTGAATATAAAATATGTATTTTCAACTACTGTAGACATCAAAGCATTTGAGGTATGAAATTAGACGAATATAATGTAATTTGAAATTCCAAATTCCCATTAAATTTAACAGTGGAACTTGAAAAATTATTGCATACTGCTGTGAGTGGTGATTTCTCCCATTAACTACCCTGCAGAGTATTGGAAGGGAGAAGAAAATTGCCTCCATGTTCCTTCTGGGTTTACCCCTTGATTTTTTCAAAGGAATATATTCCTTAAGTTGGTTTGTCGCTGCTGACACTTAGTACATGTTTCTGAGTCTCAGAATGTACTACCTTGTACCTTGGGGCTTACAGGAATCCATTGTTTTTTCCCAAGTGTCTCCCTTATTTCTAGGAACTTGGGCAGTAAATATTTCATTAAAATTTTCTTAATGTATTTTTATTCCTCAGACAAGATACCTGTATAGATTCTACTTCTTCCCTGAGAGAAAATAAACAGCTGGAATGTTTGGAGTTAAAACAAGGTATGGCTTAAATACATAATCCGTTTTTACCTTTTGCCAATGGTAAGTTTACAGTGTTCCATACCACTCCAGATACAGTACCAGGTAAAGTTACAGATAAAGTACCAGAGTGATTTATTTGGTCCAAAATAAAAAGAGGAAAGAATCTATCCTTTATTTCTTAGCTACTGGAAGAACCTTAGTAATGCTTAGTTGATTATAGGCATCACCAGAAAGATTTTGTAATCTTGAACAGTTTTAGTTGAGTAATTTCTCTTATATAGTCTTACCTATAAGGCACTAAAGTATATGTTAACTGAGTAGCTTAGAGTTATAGGTGGAAAAAGCCAATAACTTTTGTTGTTTTTGTTTTTGTTTGCTTGTTTGCTTTTTGAGACAGGGTGTTTTGTAGCTCAGGTTGGCCTTGAAGCTCCAATTCTTTTGCATATTCTTCCCAAGTCCTGGAAGTTACAGGCCTGTAACTTTTACAGGATAACCTTTTCCCCCAAGATATTTACTTTGTCCTTATTTAATTTCTTTCTTGAAGAAATAAAGTATTAAGTTTAAATTTATCTTAGCCTTGTAGATTAATAGGAATAATCTTTTATATGCCTTTTGGTTCTCATCTCTACTAGGAAAAACTCGAGTATAAGAAGTTATTTTTACAGCTACTCAAATATCACTTCACATTTTCCCATTTCCTGTAAAATTAATTCAAAGCTTCAAGTATCTGTTGCAAATAAGAGGATTGAGTTTTCTGCTATGCATACATCTAATCTTTGATGTCTTAGGATAGTTTTTATAAAACTAACCATAGGAAAGAGAAGCAGATCGACAGACTTTTAAAACTGTAGTCTGTTATTAATGCTTAATAAGGTAAAAAATGTATAATTTATATGTACAAGGAAAAAGCCCTAGATTAATATTTCTAATGGTCTTGGGAATTATTTATGCTTTCCAGAAGTTCTTTTATATTAGTCTCAAAAATAGCCAGACAAAATGTACTATGATTACTTCTGAGCAACTCCACAACTCAGATTTTGTTTGACTGGCATGTTAAATATTAACACTTTTTTCATATAACTTAATCACATAATTCCTCCTATACTTCATGTATAATTAAACAGCACTGTTTCTTTTGTTTCTAAATGTTTTTGTATCAAGCGGTATGGATAGTATGCTGTTACTTCATCTGGGGAGAGACTTAAGTCATATAAAAGATATAAAAGACTGTAATGAGTCAGGTCATTCCCATTCCAATGGAAAAAGGAGTAGAGACTGTATTGCACAAGTTAGCTAAACCTGCCTTCTTAGGCAAGATAGTTTTCTTGAGTTAAGGTACTCAAGAGTTTTATAGAATTCCCTTCCTAGTGTCAACAGCTTAGTTTCTGTGATTTTCTTGTGGTACCTTTAATTATTTGGTTTTTGTTTTTTTTGGTGTGTGTGTGTGGGTTCTGGTCGTGGGGCCTGAACTCTGGGCTTGGGCGCTGTCCCTCAGCTCTTCAGCTCAAGGCTAGCGTTCTACCACTTGAGCCACAGCACCACTTCCAGCTTTTTTCTTTTTGCTTATGTGGTGCTGAGGAATCGAACCCAGGGCCTCTTGCATGCAAGGCAAGCACTCTACCACTGAGCCACCTTCCCAGCCCCACCTTTAATTATTTGGAAACCAGTCATGGAGGTACAAAGAAAAAAACCTCACAGTATGCCAGTGTCATAAGTCCAGGCCTTTAATGCTTTCAAACCTGTAAACTACAGTAAGGATCTCACACTAATTACCTCAAGTCTCAGTAACACCTATGGCATCGAGCAAAGAGGGTCCAGAAACTGATAACAAAGTTTGCCACTTTTGATGGCAGTTTATGATCAGTTATTCTTAGCCTGTAATAAAGGCTTAAATTAAGTTTCAACTTCTACATAAATTAAGGGAGTAAGTCAATAATAAAATGACTAATATGTAAGCATTGCATAATGGGATAAACATAACTCATCCAGAAGGTTTATGCAGAATATCTTTCATATAAATACTAGCATAGTTGTAATCTGAACCAGATAATAAGTAACTTGTATGGAGTTATCAAGATGCTGAGGTGTCAGGAAATACAAATCTTAGCAAGTTAAATAAAGATCATTCCTTTTTTCTTTTTTCTTTTTTTTGTCAGTTATAGGGCTTGAACTCAGAGCCTGAGTGTTGTCCCTGAGCTCTTGCTCTTTGCTCTACCACTTTGAGCCACAGTGCCACTTCCGGTTTTCAGGTGATTAATTGGAGATAAGAATCTCATTGACTTTCCTGCCTGGGCTGGTTTTGAACCATGGTCCTCAGATCTCAGCCTCCTGAGTAGCTAGGGTTACAGGCATGAGCCACCAATGCCTGGTTCAGTCCCTTTTTTCTAAATGAACAAATGGTTATTTGTAACACGCAGAACTCTCAAAATGTTATACTGTTTCTTTAACTTTTCTTGCATAGTTAGCTATTCTGCTCACAATGAGCTTCATAAAAACAGAGTAAAATGGTCCTGTGAGTGCATTGGCATTTAAATAGCTTGACCATTTAAGACAATTCGTTGAAGCTTATTGAGTACTAAAATGACCTTTTTTGTTCAGAAGACCAGAATATAAAGTAGCATTGGATTTTCATTTTGTTTTTTTATTTTGTGCTAGTCACAGGGCGTGAACTCAGGGCCTATGTACTGTCCCTGAGCTTCTTTTGCTCAAGGCTAGTGCTCTACCACTTGAGCCACAGTACCACTTCTGGCTTTTTGGTAGTTAATTGGAGATAAGAATCTCAGACTTGGGGCTGGGAAGGTGGCTAGGTGGTAGAGTGCTTACATCCCATTCATGAGGTCCTGGGTTCTATTCCTCAGCACCACATAAGCAGGAAAAACTGGGAAGTGGTGCTGTGGCTTAAGTGGTAGAGTGCTAGCCTTGAGCTGAAGACCTGAGGGACAGTGCCCAGCCTGGAGTTCAGGCCCCATGACTGACAAAAAAACCAAAAAACTCAGACTTTTCTGCTTAGCCTGGCTTTGAACTGTGATTTTCAGATCTTAGCCTCCTGAGTAGCTAGGCTCATATAGTTTTATATTTAATATATTTGCTAAGCAATGAACAACCTTCCATCTAATTTTAAAAAATTTCAGAAATTAGTAAGGCATCAGTGTTTTCCCCTCTAGCAGTATAGTATGACTGACACATAAGAATTAACATTATTTATAATATTTATGATGTAAAAATACATAAATATATTATGTCTTGGAAATTGTCATTAAAAAAAATCTTTAAACTAAGAAATGACTGAGTTAAGTTTAGATATTTAGATTGGAGAAAGAAATTGAGTTGAAGTTTCTAGTCATTATTCTACAATATTTGAAGGGTTGTCAAAAGAAGAGTGATTTGTTCTGCATGGTCCCCAGGAATAAAAATGGAATCATAAGATAAAATTATCATTGGACCAAAAATTTTGGATCCATTTATGTCAAATTATCAGAGCTGTCAGCCCTCTAAGTGAAATTCCTATCGCCAGTGGTGTTCCAACAAAGGTTGCATGCACCAACACCTGGTGGCGCTGTTGTACAGCATATTCAAACAGGACTCTGAGGTTTGGCCTCAGTCTTAAAGTGGCTTTCAAACCGGAAAAATTTGTAAAGACTAGTGCTTAGCAAATTGTTTGTACTTGGAAGAGTGCATACCTATATAAATTAATATTTTTGTTTATTTTGTACCAGTACTGAGGCTTGAAGTTGGCCTGAGTACTGTCCCTGAGTTTTTATGCTAAAGGCTAGCACTCTACCACTTGAGCCACAGCTCCACTTCTGGCTTTTTGATAATTAATTGGGGAAAAAGAGTCTCAAGCCCTCTTCTGTCCAATCTGTCTTCGAACCTCAATCTTAAGATATCAGTTTCCTGAATAGCTAGGATAACAGGCATGAGCCATCAGTATATGACTAATAGATATTATCTTAAATTGTTCAATGGAAGCCAAGTGAAATATTCAAACTTTTTTCTGTTACCTCTAGATTTTAAACTTCTATTAAAGAAAGGATGCTTTGTTTAGCTTATAGGTTATTTGATGGTTCTTTGAAACATTTTCATTTGAATATAGTCATTAAGTATAACCAGTCATAATGTAATCATATGCTATATAAAACGATCAAAGTTTCCAAGCCATTTACTACAGTTTACTGTGAATCCTATTTATTACTTTTTCATTTGAAAATTATTCTTCCTTATTAGAGGTATGCAGAACATAAAATATACATATAAAGTTTTGTTTTGGTTAGGCATACATTTTCTATTGACAATGATCTAGTTAGCTGGGTATGAGTGGCTTATGCCTGTAACCCAAGCTATTCAGGAGGCTGAGGTCTGATGACAGTGGTTTGAAGCCAGCCTGGGCAGGAAACTGAGAGTCATCTCCAATAAACTACTCAAAAAAAAAGAAGTGTCGCTGTGGCTCAAGTGGTAGAGTACTAGCCTTGAGCACAGAGAGGCTCAGGGACAGAGCCGAGGCCCTGAGGTCAAGCCCTGGGACTGGTGCACAAAAATAAATAAGTAAACAAATAAATAAACAATTTAGTTGTCTTCTGCATTTTTATTTTGGGCTTCAATTTATGAGTTGGTTTTTTCCTAGACGGCTTCAAAATTGACCTTATTAAACTGAAGCTGTATGGTAGAGCACAGCCTAGCTTCATGTAAATGGTCCTGGCCTAGGTTATCTCCAGAACTAAAATATTTTTTTTCCGGCTGGGAAGGTGGCTCAGTGGTAGAGTGCTTGCCTCGTATGCATGAGGTCCTTGGTTCTATTCCTTAGCGCCACATAAGCAGAAAAAGCCAGAAGTGGCACTGTGACTCAAGTGGTAGAGCATTAGCCTTGAGTTGAAATGCTGAGGGACAGCGCCCAGGCCCAGAGTTTAAGCCCCTACTTTCTTTTTTCTTTTCTTTTTTTCCTCTTCAGAGATTATAAACTAATAAGCCTAGAATTTTACTGGGAATTGATGTCACATTTCCTGTACTGTTGTCTTGTAGGA